GAATCCCGGCTCCGCCACCTGCCGAGCCGGCGCTGGGGGATGCTGCCGGCGTGGTGGTCCTGAGCCCACTGGGATGATCCGGGAGGACGGAGGCTGCCCGCTGCTGGGCCGGATCCTGCGGCGGGTGGCCGGCTACTGTTTCGATGCCCCCCTCCACCAGCTCTCCATCCCCACGCAGGATGGAGACGTCCACCGCCACCAGGCTAAGGGTCCCGGCCGGATCCAGGAGGGCTTCAGCGCTGTCGGTTGGAGCTGTCTGCTGCATCGCGGGGGACGGCACCGACGCCGTGTCACCTACCCCGGCACCCAGGACCTCCTCGGTCCCTGAGCCGCCGTCCATGCTACTGGGGGGCTGAGACGGGGCATCTAAGTCAGTGAGGGTGGCATGGAGGAGGCTGGAAGGGACCCGGGTGCTAGCGGGTGCCACCTCCCTGCTGGCATGGGTGGCAGCAGAGAGGGAGGGCTGGGTGGCAGAAGGGAGGGCAGGGGACAGGCAATTGCAGTCAGGATCTGTCCCCACACCTGAAAGAAGCAGAGAGAAGAGATGGCCGTAGGGTCACCAGCCTCCAAGAGGGGCACAGCCAGCAGATCCGAGGCCGGGGGCAGCGTCCCCGTCCCTCCCCGCAGCCCCGGGCAAGCGGGTCAAACAGCCCCCCCCCCCCCCAAAAAAAAAGGGAGAGTGAAGGTGAGGCAGGGAACAGGCAGGGAGCAGGCAGGGACAGACGTGGCAGCACGAAGATGGCAAGCAGCAGGCAGGATGAAGCAAACCCGAATCACCGGGTCTCCTGAGCCGATGGCACTGGGTTATCCCTGGCTGGCAGGAGCTGGACAGCCACAGTTAACATCCCCTACGGCACGGGGACACGACACAGCTCCAACACACGGACAACAGCGAGACGCCTCCTCCGTGGGCATGCAAACACACAGTGCGGGTGCCTGCGAAAGCACAGACGGCAACACGGGCTCCTCCATCCCGGCGGGCAATGCTCTCCCCGAAGGCTCGGTCGGGGGGAAACTGAGGCGGGGGGCAGTCGAAGTGACATGGCCAAGGTCATGCAGCACACCGGTGGCAGCGGGGTCCCAGGGCCTCGATTTCTCTGTGTTACGCTCAAGCTGGGCGCTGCGGCTTTGAGATGGAGCTGAGCCTGATGCCTCCAGCTGGGCTGATGGAGATGCCTCCTTATTCCCCCTCAGCATCTCTCTCTGGCCTTGTTTCCAGCAGGATTCGGCCCAAATCCCACCCCCAAAGGGTGGCCAGCCCCTTCTCCCAACCCCAGCTGTCCCCAGACACAGACGCAGAGCTCGCTGACACACTGCCAAGGCCACCGCACGGGGACGGCCACCAGCCGAGAGACAGAGACGAGGACCAATGCAGACACGTGCTGTGCCCACAGCGCCCGCGTGTGCCCACGGACGGGGACACGCTGCTGTCAAGCTGTTCCATGCAGGCGAGCCCAAGCCCCCCCAGCCTGGCACGGGTTTGCCGGGCAGAGGCAAAGCCTCAGCGTCTCACCTGGCGAGGATCCGGCCTTCTTGGGCCCCATGCAGGTCCTCTGGTAGACCTGGCTGCAGTCCTTCTCGAAGGTCTCCTGGTTCTGCAGCAGCTGGTCGATGTCTTGGAAGAATTGCTTCACCAGCACCAGCATCTCGTAGGGGGAGGTGGTGAACTCCTTGAAGCACATCTGCGAGAGCTGGAGGAAAAGCTGGGCTCAGCATCAGCTCCATGACCGTGCCGGGCACCCGGTGTCACCTCCATGGGGTACCACGCTGCGCCCAGGGCAGGGTTTGACCCCCTCATGGCTCCCCGTGTCCACGCACACCCCACCTCTGCTCCACCTCAAGATCCTGCCCACGCAACACACCCCAGGCTGCTCTGAACACCCCGTTTCGCCCAAGGATGAGGGCTCAGACCCACACCCCTGCAGACCTGGCACCCTGTGAGGCAGGGAGCACCATACCTTCCTCTCCTTGTCATCCTCCTCCCTGATGCAGGGGTCGACGTTCTCATCGATGCGGCTGTACATCCTGCGCACCATCTGCATCTTCTTGGCGTTGGACGAGTTTTCCTTGAACTCCGTTCGCTCCAGGATCTTGCCCAGCAGAGGAAAAGCGGCTTTCACGTAGCAGACGGGGTCCTTCTGCGAGGACACGAACCACCCCAAAAAAGCAAGACTGGTTACTGGATGGGCAGAGGCAGCACCACCCCGTCCCGCTCTGCCTGGGGGAAACTGAGGCACGGAGCCACAAAATGCCTTTCTATGGTCCCACAGGCTGCCCAAGCTGGGACTCACCAGCCGCCTGGCCAGGCAGGATGGGTCCCTCCTGGGCTGCCTCCCGCAAAGGGGGACAGGAGAGGGGAGACTGGGGATGCGGGGACCCCCCTGTGCACCAGCCAGCCCTGGTCCCTGACCCCTTCTGTCCCCCGGTGCCCAGCGAGGAGCCACTCACCAACTGCATCTTATCGATGAACTTGAAGGAGACCCTGCCCGGGTGCTGCATCTGGGTGTCAGCCTGGAAGGAGAGAGCAGGACGTCACCCTGCGGCCCCGGGGGGATAACACAGTGGGAAGGGGCAGCGAAGCAGACACGGGCACCCCGAGGGCATGAAGGGGTGCCTGAGCTCCCCAAATCCACAGGGCTGGGGGGGTGAGGGGTCTGCTCCCACCCCTGCTTCATCCCACACCATCCTCCTCCTCGCACAGACGCTTCCCTAAGGTCAAACCTCTGGCAGGGGTGAGCCAGGATCCCTGCTCCCACCAGGGCAGCGCGCTCCCGGCACCGGGGACGCCTGCCTCCCCCTGCCTGCTCCCACCCTACCTCTCTTCCTCTTCCTCCCAGCGCCATGGCAGAGCCCAGCCCTGCTTGATCCTCCCAGGGTCTCCCCTGCCCTGTTCACTCCGCTAAAGCCAGGCTGCAAAAGAGCATTTTGCCATGCAGGAGGTGGTCTTGACACCGAGGTCACACATCCTCCGGCGGCACACAATGCCGGGGTCCCGCACACAGCACTGCTG